CCGCATATACCTACGAAAGGATTCCCTGTGCCGTGTCGTCGTTATAGAGTAAATTAAGAAGGCTTTACTCTGTAACACTAGCAATAGGCTTATAGTGAATTGATAAATATGCTCTAGAAAGTTAGAACTCTAGAGATAAGTAAACATATTGCTGAAACAGATTATATTTAGATATTTTAATAAGAGAAATAACAAAAATCAGATAATTTTTTAGAGAAAGAGAAGAAGTAAAAAAAGTTAAAAAAGGTGTGACAATGTAGTAAAGTGGTAGAGTTGTCACACCCTAAGCTATGTTAATCAAATATATGGAGTTCGAATTCTACTAGTAATGTTTCGAATAAAATTCTTTGTATTATAGTAACAAATCTTCATTAATTAGTTAAGTTAATTACTTGTAACTCTGGTCTCATCATTATTGTTGAGATACTGGAAGGTTCTAGAGCTTTTATATTACACAAAGCAATACAAACTGGTCTAGACGGTACAAACCCAAGATAAGTCTCTAAAACCAAAATAAAACTGAAAGAGAACTAAAAGAACTGAAACCTGCTTGGCAAGACCCAAGTTTAGAAAGTAGTAAGGATATGACAGTACCACAGAACAGAATCGGACCAACTAAAGATTTGAAAGATCTAGATAACAAGACCTTTATAAGTTTGGGTTCTACCAACCTGGCTACCAGAGTTGCACCAGAAGAAAAAGACATGTGCTCTGGAAGCATATACTAAGAGAAGGGAGACTATAAAGCACTTAAAGCCTAGGCAGGCCAACCCTACCAGGCCAACTAGTTTGGAAGTTTGGTAAAACCAAAAAATTTAGTTTGTAAAGAGAAATATAAAGTGGGTATCCGGTCCAAGAATAGCAAACCTTCACAAAGGCAAAAGTAGTTTAATAAAATAATGAGCAAATATTAGAGAACTGCGGATTTAATAGAATCCTACACTGCAGAATTAGGGACTAGTGATGTCAAATAATAGACTTAACAGCTTGGTCACAACTACAAGTAGGAGCCTCGGAAACTGTGAAAAGATAATTGTGAGTGGGTATACAAGAATGCTAATCTTGTAATCATTTCTGATAGAATTAGGTTAAGGGAAATTGGAAATACTATAAATACTTAGATACAGTATATTTGTATAGATAGATTTTAGATATAGATAGTTAAAACATAGCCCTATGTTTTATATGCAATTAATTAAATTACATAGTTCATACAGTAATACTATATAGATTAATATATATTAAAAATTTAATAAAGTATTAAGATCAAGATCTTGCCTTGATAAAAAAAAAAAAAGTAAAAAAAGTTAAAATTATATATAAAGATCTGATCAAATATATAATAAGAAGAGGGGAGAAGAGATATGCTTCTGATAAAAAAAATTAGATGATAAATAACACTACTCTAACCAGATAAGTTTTATTGTACTAGAGGAAAATTTGTAACTCTTGTATATAGACAAACAGGTTTTTTAGAGTAGTATATTACTCATACCTCTTATAATAAAGGCAGAATTATTCAAAAAAAAAATAAAATAAAAAATAAAATAAAATTAAATTTGAATCGCTAGTAAGTTTTTTTAAAAAAACTAATTTAGTTTGTTGGATTATGCTATTCTATGCTATATAATTTTTTGATTATATTAAAATATGATATTGTATCTTTAAATTCTCTATTACAATTAATAAAAAACAAATTTATCTATTTAGCACAAATAAATATACAATAGGCCAGTGTTATACATAGGACATGTTCACACTATATAATATGTCCAATGTTCAAGATTGTCCAAAATTGTCCAAGCCTATATTCCAAGTTTAAATAATCAATAAAGTAATTTAAAAAAATATATAATTATATATTTTTTTAGATGCTAGATTCATTTATAAAAAAATTAAAATAAATTATTTTAATAAAATTTTGAGTAATTTTAATTTGAAAAAATGTCCAAAATTGTCCAATGTACAACACTGCAATAGGCTATAACAAATTATATACTGTATATACTGTATTATTAATTAAAAAATATAAAGAATTTTAAATTTTTTTTTTAAAATATACTGTATATAGAAATAAATTTTTTTTTTTTATAATTTCATTTATAACATGCTATCTATTATTATATTAAGTATATAAAACTTAAATATTTATTTTTAGTATAATCTCAATATAACAAACCTTGATAAACTAGATTTGCTATTATAAATAATTCAAAAAATATTTTATTCCACTTATTAATTTAATATAATATTTTGAAAAAGTTATATTTTTAACATTACAACAAAAATTTACATCCCAACAAGAAAAAACTTTATATTGAAGCTGTTATTAATACAAAATAAATAATCTGTTTTAAAATTAAAATAATACATGACAATAGCATACAATATAATTTGTTCACCATATTTAACGCAGAAAAATTTCTCATAATTAATAAAAATGTTCTCAAATTTTGTGTGTCGCAAAAATGTGCGCAGAATCATATCTTAAACGGCAAAAATGTCAGATGCTTGTCTAGCAACCATACGGGAACCGAATTGTAAAGTGCTAGTTCCTCCGGGCAGATATGAAACAGTATACCTATGAAAATGTTATGTTATCTTTAAGCATAAATGTCGTTAATTTGACGGATCAGATATACACTAATCGGCTTACCATATGAGAGCAATTATTTGGATGATACTGAATATGATTGTGAGAATAGTACTTCTTAACTTTGAATGGCAAAAACAAAATATACTTAGGAGAATTGATTATTATACTATAAAATAAAATGAATAAATTAAGGAGAGCACCACTTTACCCCAATTGCAAAATATAGAGTCGCGGCCATCGAGCCAATATAAGCAACAGTGAAAGGAAGACGTTCCCGAGAAATCATATGTCGAAGATGAGCAAATGGTCCATAAAGTAATGCGAAACTACAGAAACCAAATAATCACATATAAAAGTTAATATTCATTAGCAGACTCATAAACTTGAAGAACTTCAAATGTAGTAAACCTTGATAATATTAAAAGGCTGCCCATTGTGTAGGTAACTGCAAATTTTCGTGGTTTTATAGCCAAAAGTGGCAAAGACACGAAAGCCTATTTAATAAATGAAGAACGAATACATATTATTTTATACCATAATATTAAGGATCAGCACAATGCGAAAGAAAAATGACGTACGATAAGAAAGCAAAGCGCTCCAGAAGCAAACAATATTCCAAAACCAGCGAGTCGCTATAAAGATGTAAATAGTTAACGGCATACTATAATTAAAATGACTAATAAATGCTAATTGAGCTAACCTGCCATCTAGTTAGTGTGAACCATTCATCGTCTTGTTCTCCATTGTTTGTTAAGGGTAGATAGCCCGCACCCTATTACCAATGCTTCCAAAGAAATTTGAAGTGTTTTCAGCAAGTCGAGAAAAGGGTGTAGACTTATTAGTGGAAATATTAGCGTTGTTAGAGCTAGAAGCCCAACGAAAAGAACGCAGTGATTCGCGAAACTGTTGTTCACCGCTTGACATTGTGCGAGTTTCCAATAAAATAAGAAATTGCCATGATTATCGTTTGGAAACTATAAATTGGCTGATGTGCTTGCACCAGCCACCGAGTTTAGCAATATATATAACGATAATGCATATCGTTATTGCGTAGGAAACGAAATTTTTTGTACCTTTTCGCCACAATGACGGCTTTACTTAAAGTGCTGGCCCTTTGGGGTCTTGCTATTTGTTCTATTTTTATAATTGCTAAAGCAAATACTAATGTCAACCCAGTCACCCCAGGAGAAAGCGTTATTCCATTACGTACTCACTCTCTTTATATGCCGTACATTGGTGAGAATAGTGTTACCACTTTTACATTATACCAGTAAAAAAATCTAATCAAAAAAAAAAAAAAATGCTTTTCTATCCAATTCTAGATCAAGATCTTCAAAATCGTTGGTTCGACTTTGGCGCCGATACAGTAATTAACACTAACAAGTACATTAGATTGACACACGATCGACAATCTCAAACTGGTTGGCTTTGGAGTAGATTGGTACGAATTATTATTTTTTTGCAAGATATTAGATCAATTTGAAAGTTTGAAATGTTATAGGTCGTTTCTATTTATCAGACGAGTAGTATAGTCCGTTAAAAGTGTCGATGGCAGACTGTAAATTTTGAGCCAAAAAATAACAAATTGAATGCTAATTTTAATATTTACATTAACTAATAGCCTTTGACAGCTACGAATTGGCAGGTTGAATTTGAGTTCAAAATTGACGGACATAATCCCAGCTTGTATGGTGATGGAATGGCTGTATGGTTTACCACAGACCGTGCAAAGCCTGGACCTGTATTTGGATTCATTGATAAATTCGAAGGGTTAGGCATATTTTTTGATACTTATGCTAACTCTAGACAATCAGTAAGTATAAATATGGTGCATGGAACATGTTGTCTTTTCCTCACGTATTTGTACTCTTTCTTACCACCTTAGCTATCGTTAGCATTCATTTCCTTATGTCATGGCAATGTTGGGTGATGGTCATACTGAATATGATAATGCTAATGATGGTAAAGCCAATGAAATTGCCGGATGCGAGGTAAGATTATAAACTAATTGGCTATCATTGGTCAAGCAAACATTAAATATATATATATTTATTTATTTTAGGCTGATATACGTGGAAAGTCGGTTGCAACAAAAGCACGCATTACATATTATAAGAATACCTATCTTGAGGTGAATACATCTTAATAACAATTTTACTTTCATTATTTCATGAAAAAATATTTAGATATTCAAATTTATTGTATTCATGTGTTTAAACTAGGTCAAATTACAATATAAGGAATGGGACCAGTGGGAACCGTGCTTTACTATTAATAATATAACAATCCCTACAGTTGCTTATCTTGGTTTCAGTGCATTGACTGGTGATGTTAGCGGTATATATATTTTTTTTCATAACCTTTTTTTTTTTCATAACATTATTCTTTTTTTTAGTTAAATATTGTGTTTGATATTTATAGATAATCACGATGTTATAAGCATTACAACAAATAACATGATTTCTGTCCCTCCACGAGTTCATAAGGTAATATTCACTTTATAATTGTTATATCATTATGTTTCCCAAAAAGGCTAACCTTTTTTAATCAGCCAATTACGCGACAAGAATCTGCGTCTTCAAGTTGGTTTGGATTGCTGTTCACTCTCAAGCTCATTGCTACTGCCGCTTTTCTTGGTGTTTTGATATTGGTGTATAGAATGTATAGAAATCAGTCAAATAAAAGGTTTTAAGAACCACTTTTCGTAATACTTTTTTTTTATTTTTGTAAGAGACGATTAATGAAAGAATTTTAATATGTTCTATTAACATTCGAAAAATTTTTATAAAAAAAATGAAATTGGCAAAGTTCCTTGTCTTACAAATACTTTACTGATATCAATATATGATTTATTTAATTTAGTATATAACATAGTGATTATTCATTGAGTGCATTGAACATTTGATTTAAAATTTATTTACAGGATTGTGTAATATTCAAATCAAAAATTTACGTCCATATTATAATAATTGTCGTGACTGGTACTGAAATTTGTTGACGCAGAATTCGGGAGTCTCTAGTTGTAAATAAAAAATCTACTTTTTAAATATTCTATTCATAAAAAGCAAAAGTGCTCCGAAAAAAAAAAAATAAATAAACCAATTTTATATTAAAATCGGTCCCAAATTCAGCATCAGTATGACAATAATTTGTCAATTAATATACAGTAATATCGGTTTTTTTTGTGGAATTATTGTAATAAAATTATTATTCTATGATGTACATGAGTAAAGTTTTACAAATGTATGTTCCTTATTAAATTACACATTTTCTTTCTCATTATTTCCACCTATATTAAAATTTTCATTCTCGTTGGATTCTCCTTTTTCTAATCTCTCAAAAGTTTGAAATTCTTTCAGTCTCTTATTCTCCTGATCCTTGGACCATGTGTATAAACAACTTCCTAAAAGGATTATAAATATACCACCAACACGACCACTAGTCAAAATTTCTGCGAATAAAAGTGCACCAAGTATGGTCTGAACAACGCCACGGAATGCGGATGAAATCATGTGTGTCACGGGTGATGTGACTTTGATTTGGAGAAATCCCGCGATGTTTATCAAAAAGCCGAAGAGTCCCTTCAAAAACGATTCAAAAAGTGAATACGCAGAAAAAATATATTTTGAAGTGCCATTTATTACGTGATTTATCGATAAAAAAAAACTGCGTAATAAACGGAACTCCCTTTAATGAAAAAAAATGAATGTAATAAATATATACCGTAACAAAAATACCGATGAAAAAAGTTCTAGCAGAGGATTTACTTTCACTAGTAGGATTCGAGTCAGAAAATAGCATGAAAATATCATCATGTTCTCCCGCTAGTAAGATTACAGGTATAAATGCGATAGCACTCAAAAGATTGTTATAATAAACCAACTCCATAGTATTGCCTTTAACAATATCTAAACTCTTCTTTATAACAATCGCGTGCAAAGCTGTAGAAACAGAAGAACATATTCCAAAAAAGACTCCAAGCATAGATAGTGTTAAACGCTCTGAAGACACACCAACAAAGAATCCCGCACAGACAATAAAGCATGACAAGAGAACCATCAATGATGATCTTTGGTTAAGAAATATATAAGAAAATAAAACTGTAAAGGGAAGCACTAGTGCACGAGCAACCTTGATAGATAAATAGAAGAATGTAAATATAAAATATAAAATAAATATAATATGGCAATATGTAGATAAAGTAACGAACCTGATAAAAACTGGCATCTACATATTGTAGACATACTGTATTAAAACTTAATCCCAAAACATTGATGAGGACAAGTGGCAATAGACCAACGCATATATCCTTTTGCACTACTGGCAATCTAAAGAGACCAAAAGCTGCCGAGATGTGTAAAAGAATTACCGCAAAAGTAACTTGGAACCAAAGTAAAGAAAAGGGTAAATCGACGCTATTCAGTACCCACTAAACAAACAAATAAAGTTATATAAGAAAGTTAAAGGGCCTATGTTTTATTTTAAAAATTAGTTACCTTGTTCACGAATACCATTATCAATGCCGTAGTGATATAGAAAGTGACTGAAAAAGCGACCATTCCGCGGCTAGGTTGTTTGTCGGCCATTTTTTCGATATTATAATAGAGAATGTGTATGAATTGTTGTATGTAAACGTTTCTTGAAGTAAATGAATTTAAGCATCCTTAGCGTTAGAAAAAAGCTTATTTACGGGATTTGTTACCGTTACATTAAAATTTAAAAGGGGACCAATCATATAATTACAAATGTTTTCGTGCCAGGGGACTCGGAAAAATTCACATATACTGTACACCGGTGACCCGTGGCTTCGCGTTGAACCACTTTTTTATTGTCGCTGCAAATACTGATATATATATATAATTTAAATTACTGTAACGGTATATATATGTTGTAACCTAGATGCAAATTGGCCCTATTTACAATTGGGCTAGCCTAGATAACAATTTGATTTTGGGATAGCAATTTTGTCCCAAATGCAAATTAGATAATATATCAACATAAACAAATAAGAAAACCAATATAAAAGCCAATT